GAAATCACCTCCCCCTCCTGGCCCTAGTCTTTGGAAAAACTGTCTTCCATGAAACAGGTCCCTGGTGCCAAAAAGGCTGGGGATCACTGATTTAGATCATACCTACACCTTGCTCATAAACTTCAAAATGTCCACTATCGCCTGTAATCCTAGCACTCTGGGAGGCCGAGGCGGGCGGATTGCTCAAGGTCAGGAGTTCAAAACCAGCCTGAGCAAGAGCGAGACCCCATCTCTACTATAAATAGAAAGAAATTAATTGGCCAACTAATATATATAGAAAAAATTAGCCGGGCATGGTGGCGCATGCCTGTAGTCCCAGCTACTCAGGAGGCTGAGGCAGAAGGATTGCTTGAGCCCAGGAGTTTGAGGTTGCTGTGAGCTAGGCTGACGCCACGGCACTCACTCTAGCCTGTGCAACAAAGTGAGACTCTGTCTCAAAAAAAATAAATAAATAAATAAATAAATGTCCACTATCAACTCCCTTATTTTGGTATTTAAGATTCTTTACAATTTGCTCCCAACCTACTTTTTCAATACTAAGTTTTCATCCATAGATTCATTCACTTGACATATACTTACAAAGTGCCTACCAAGGATATGGAGGAGTTGAAGGTACTATAAAGGTGACTAAAACCATCCTTACCATAAAGGAGTTTACAGTCTTTTAATGGAAGAAATGGAATATGTACAAAGATAACTCCAATATAAGGAAGAAAATGAGCGCATTAAGAGAGACAAGAAGGTGTTTTGGCATTAATTCTCCCTGGCTAGTTCAGGATATCTTAGAAGGGAAGGCAGGGGTTCAATACGTGAGAAGGGGGAAGCTCACTGCAAAAAACGAGCAAAGGAACGGAGAGGTAAGAACATGTGGGAAACAAGTTTGATTTCCACATGATGTATGTAAAGCAGACCAATAAGTAGTAAAGCTAAAAAGAGAGGATTAGAGTTAAATCCAAATAATTATGAATGCTTGGCCAAGGTCTGGACTTTGATATTTATTCATTTAACAAGTATTTACTTTCTGTCTACAATTGGCCAGACTATAGGTTAAGCACCAGGGACAGAATAAGAGCAAGACAGACATGATCCTAGTCTTCTTGGAGCTTACAGTCTAACATAAAAGCAGTGAGGATCCACTGAAGACGCTCAACACAGAACTGTCATCACTGAGGGGATAGTTAAGACCACTCTGGCATCAAAGTGTAAGATTAACTTCATGGGAGAAGAAATGAAATGAAAGGGAGGGAAGAGGCCCAAGATAGTGGCAGTGGTAAGGGAGAAGATAAAGCCTTGAAAGTTATTAACGAGGAAGACTCTCAGGCTTAACACAGGAGTGGAAATAGAGGAGAGCAGGGAAGAGGGAAAAGTAAAAGTGAAGTATAATATTGGAAAAAAATCAGAACAGTAGTTGGCTCTGAGGGTTGGGATTGACTGGAAAAGGGCATGACAGAGCTCTCTAGGATGATGATAATGTCTGTGTCTTGGTAGAGGTTTGGTCACACGCATTTATCAAAACTCATCAAATGGGCCAGGCGTGGTGGCTGACGCCTATAATCCTAGGACTCTGGGAGGCTGAGGCAGGCAGATTGCTCAAGGCCAGGAGTTCGAAACCAGCCTGAGCAAGAGCCAGACCACGTCTCTACTATAAATAGAAAGAAATTAACTGGCCAACTAATATATATATATAGAAAAAATTAGCCGGGCATGGTGGCGCATGCCTGTAGTCCCAGCTACTTGGGAGGCTGTGGCTGGAGGATTGCTTGAGCCCAGGAGTTTGAGGTTGCTGTAAGCTAGGCTGACGCCACGGCACTCTAGCCTGGGAGACAAAGTGAGACTCTGTCTCAAAAAACCAAAAAACTCATCGAATGGGATATTTAACATCTGTGCATTTCACCATATGTACATTTTATCTAAAAAAAAATCTCTGAAAATACTGAACTCAAGTTAATGATATACAAGCTGAAGAGGGGTGTAGTGCATGATACAAACAACTTACTTTGAAATACATTTTAACAAGTTAAGATAGACTGATGGATGGATAGATACATGATAAAGCAAACAGCAAAACAGTGACTGTAGACTCCTGGTGGAGGGCATGTGGTGTTCATGTACAATGCTTTCAATCCTTTTTGTTTCAAAAATGTTGTTAATAAAATGTTGAGAAGAATGGTAAGCATACAGTTTTGAGACTGAGTTGACTGGTAGGACACTGGGAATGTAGAAGGAGATGTGCATTTAGAGCCCAGGATGATGAGCTCAATTAGTGACCCAAAGCATCTGAGTAGAAATATTTACCCAGGCAGCAGGAGATGCACGAGTAGAGTTAAATTATTTTACTCTGCTGCATCCTAAACATCTCTGCCTCCATGTATTCCCTCCTCCTAAACTCCTTTCCCTTCTTTGAGCTTCCTCTGAACACCATTGCCCTCCCATGTTCAGCACTGTACAATCAGTTCATGACATTATCATCTACCACTAGACTGGAAATTCTTAGGGTAAACAAAATCTTACAGATATTTCATAAAGCGGTTTTCAAATAAGCAAATGAATAATACCTGACTTATTTGAACATCCAGGTCTTTATGGTCACACTGATTCTTGGCTTAGAAAGTATAGTTTTGGCCTGGTGCGATAGCTCATGTCTGTAATCGTACTAGCACTCTGGGAGGCCTAGGCAAGTGGATCACTTAAGGTCAAAGGTGGATCACTTAACCAGCCTGAGCAAGAGCGAGACCCCGTCTCTACTAAAAAAATAGAAACAAATTAATTGGCCAACTAAAAATATATAGAAAAAATTAGCCAGGCATGGTGGCGCATGCCTGTAGTCCCAGCTACTCGGGAGGCTGAGGCAGAAGGGTCGCTTGAGCCCAGGAGTTTGAGGTTGCTGTGAGCTAGGCTGACCCCATGGCACTCTAGCCTGGGCAACACAGTGAGACTCTGTCTCAAGGAAAAAAAAAAAAAAAAGAAAGAAAGTATAGTTTTGTTTTTTCTTTCTAAATTAGATACACACACACACACTTTTAAAAAAGGCACCCTTTATAAAAGTGGGGAAAATAACTTCTACTTCATACAGTGAAATGAAATTCCCATTCCTAAATTTTTTTTGTGTGTGAGACAGTCTTGCTTTGTCTGGATAGAATACAGTGGTGTCATCATAGCTCACTGTAACGTCAAACTCCTGGGCTCAAGCAACACCCCCCCCCACAACTCCTGTCTCAGCCTCTCAGAATGCTGGGATTACAGGAATGAATCACAGTGCTTGGCCTCCGAAAATCTTAACATATCCGATTTTCTCTTCTTAGTAGCTTTTCTTTCAGATTTAATCTGACATTTCATTTTGCAGAACTATAAACAAAACAAAATGGTTGTCCTTAGGTAGCAAAACTATCCTTTATTTCTTTTTTTCTATTATTCTGAGCTATATTTCTACAAAAATGTTTACTTTGATAACAGGGACAAAAAGTCTATATATTAAAGGAAACTATTAATGACAGTCATCAGACCCTAAAGTATACTGCTAGAAACTTTTGAGTTGTAAAGAAACAAATCAAACCAAGGTTACCGATTTCTCATGCCTATAAACTAAAATAAAATCTTAAGGCTCCCCCTCCCACCGGCTGACTGAATGGACCCCCCCTTGGCCAAAACTAAAGTGCCTACAAGGTAACGGTGAAAGAACACACATTTGACACTAAAAAGAATACTAGGTAGTAGCCAACTCCAGTTAGTGGAAAGCCATTAGCTTATTCTGTTATTTTGTTCATTATTCTACCAATTTTGACAATCTATTTTTTAAAATGGACTAATGAACACCTTTTATACACCTCATTATGCCCCCTCCTCCCTTCCTGGAGACATCCTTTGTAACCCATTAACAGGCCTAAGGGAATGCAAAAGAAATCTGCAGGCTCTCAATTTACACAACAAACATATGTCTCAGTGGCTTATCTCTGATTGACAGCTCCTTATCTTAAAACATTCCAAGCCTTTAGACAAAGCTTCATGTCTTTAACCAATTACAAATCAAAGAATCTTTAAACCCACCTATAACCTATAAGTCCCTCCCCCTTAAAGATGGCCCAGCTTTTCTGGCCAAACCAGTGTATGCCTTCCACATATTTATTTATGACTTTACCTGTAAAACCGTTTCCCTGTAGTAAAAAAAAAAAAAAAAACAAATAAAAAATATAAAAAAATTAAAAAGAAAAATAAATAAATAAAATAAAACCAAACCATAACCCAGCCACACCGAGTCCACTTGCTCAAGGCTTCTTGGGTGTGGCTCCAGGTCAGGATCCTCAAATTTGGCTCAGAAAAAAAATCTCTTTATTTTACAGTTTTGGCTTTTTCCATTGACATTCCTCTCTCTCTATTCATCAGAGAGCTATGGTAAAGAAACTATGTCCCTGCTCATATTTGCACTTCCCGGCACTACCCATAGCATTGAGCTACCCATAGCATTGAGCTTCGCATACCATACACAAGCACTCAGATGGTGAAAGAACACACATTTGACATTAAAAAGAATTCTAGGTAGTAGCCAACTCCAGTTAGTGGAAAGCCATTAGCTTATTCTGTTATTTGATTGTTTGTTATTCTACCAATTTTGATAATCTACTTTTCAAAATGGACTCAAAGAACACCTTTAATACTATCCCAACTGCCCCAGGCAACAGTGCTGCTAAGTGAAAGAAATTGGGTTTAGCTGCTAGGAGTTCTAAGAACCAGTTAGAACAAGCAATGGTATACCTAAACCCATACTTGGCACTATGGGAGAATAACTCTATTAAGAAAATCCATGAATAATTAAGATTGCTCCTATTTTTGTACCAGGCAGACTCAACCATTGCTAATACTTTATATCATTCCAACCGATCTCCCTGACCATGTTAAATTCCCAATGGTTCACCTCAATTGTTTAACTCCCAAATCTACTTACTATTCTAGGAAGAACCCCTGCTTCATCTCTTACCTCCACCACAGTTTAAAAAATGTATTACCTTTTCTCCCCTCTCTCGCTCTTTGTCCTTCTCTTCTTTCTTCTTTTTCTTCTCACTATGCCCGTCAGTGTGGAGGGCAGGAAGTGGAGGGGGAGGGGCAGGCGTTCCAGCATATGGGATGGCTGGAGGAGGGGCAGGTGTCATTGTGACCTCTCCCCCAGCTGCTGCTGTGGCAGAAAGTCCTGAACTTCTCTTGGACTTGGAGTGTCGCTTCTCTTTGTGTTTTTCCTTGTCCTTTTTCTTTTTGCTCTTCTTTGACTTCTTTTTCTTCTTGATTTCCCGGTAAGAATCATCTATCACTAACTCCCCAGCCTCTAGTTCCCCACCAGAGGATGAGTCTGATTCTACTAGAATAGGCTCAAGCCCTGAAAAGTCAAGGTTAGCACTGTGGGATTCTGGGAACTGGGAGGCGTCAGACCCACAGCCTTCAGGGCCAGGGGATGAACGTGGGTCTGAGGATGACTTGTGCTTTTTCCGGGCTGTTCTCAGAAAGCTCTGTAGCTCGTGTCCTAGGAGTAAAGCACCTTGCTCATCCCGAGCTGATTTCTTTGAGCATCTTTTCACAGTCGCTTGTTGAGAGGGATGTTGAAAAGACTCCTCATCAACTGAGCTGCTTCCCTTCTCCTTTGGTGAAAGAATAAGTTTCATCTTTAAACCATCAGGCTCTCGAAGGGTCAGTGTCTCTGTGTTCACATAGAGCGGTTTCATTTTTTTGGATTTGTGGGAGCCACCATCCTCCAGGGATAGTTCCCCACTGCTTCCGCTTACTTTCTTTCTGTGGTGTTCCTTTCTACTCTCCGAATGGCTTGAAGAGCTGGAGGATTTCTCCCCTGTCTTTTTGGAGGATTTGGAGCCAGGTGCCAGTGGGGAAGTGATAGCTCTTAATAGGTCCATGGCTGTATCAGTAGGTTGTGGGCTGGACTTTTTCTTTTTCTTCTGTGACGACTCCAAAGACGAAATGTCTAGAAATAATCAAGAGAAGTACTGTCAATATGACAGGGAGCAACTTCTTACACATTTCCTCTCTCACCAAAAACACCCACCTAACAAAAGGAAGAGGCTAATAGGAACGATTTGAAGGGAGATCCTTTAACTGATCCTAACATTCAGAGATGATGCCCATGTGCTTCTTGGCTTGATATACTTTGCCTCTGACCCTGGAGACAGTTCTTGCCACTAAAGTTGTTTTTCTTCACTGAGTCTTCAGAAGCAACCAGAGAGCATACCCAGAATGGACTATAGCTGTGGGATTATAGGGAGTTACAATTTAGATTGCAGACAGAGTATCATTTGTTTCTGTGTTCAGGACAAACCCATTCTGATAAAAGTTTAGTCTCATCAGCTATGTGCATAACACAGCTAAGAAAACTGGTTCTGTGAGTGGATATACACTGGTTGAGAAGTGACCCACAGGTGCAGGCCAGAGGGCCTAAGGACTACACATGGCAACAGGGACGCTAGATAACAATGGGCACAAGATAAGTGGATGATTGGGGGGAGAAGGAACCTGGTACCTGGTGTATCACAAATGAAGACTGTTCTTCTATGCTGAATCCTCCAAAATACCAGCCCTCCACCTCTCTCCTCCTTCACACTGGTTTACCGGCACTCAGAACAAGAACCACTGTCCTGTTAAATAGGCCACTGAGTCAGCAACATCTGGATCCCTTTCCCCTACCCCGACTCCAAGAACCAGTGATGTGTTTATCCCACCTGTTGCCCCTTTCCATTCTTACCTCCATAGTAATAATCATCAGAGGAGTGCTTCCTCTTCTTCTTGTGCGTGTCCGTCCCCAAGAAGTAAAATTCACTATCCTGCAATCAGACAGGGAAGAATTAACCAATACTAAGATGACAAGGCAAGAGTAGTTTGGAAGCACTCTTGTTCTTTGATGATATTTGACTTTGGAAAACAAAGTGCAAGAAATAAAAACAGAATGGAACAATCTTTTATTTATTTTTTTCTAAAGTTTTTAAATGACACTTCCTTCTTCAAATATTAGGAAATATGGTAAGCAATAGTTTAAAACTTTCCTAATTCAAATGTTTGGGATTTACCTTTAACTTCTTCTTGGAAGAATTCCTGACCTGAGCAGCAATTTCTTCCTCTTCCCTTAAAAAATCTTTATAAGAACGTTTCTTTTCTCGTTGGCTTCGGCCAGCTGCAAGTCCTATGTCCTCAAAGGTGTGATCACCATCAAAGCAATCTGAGAAGCACAGGTTCATTTGGGAAAGGAAATAAGAAAGTAAGTAATAACCAATTACCATGCATATAATGCAATAGCCCCTCTATTACCCAATCAGAATAATGTTCCAATAAGTCCACTGAAATACAGGGCTAGACTCAAGGGGACAGAGTATTTCTTGATGACCTGGCTGCAAATACAAGAATCAAACCTGAAGAAACAATGCTTCCACGCTATGCAAAGCTTCCATGTGCATCCTCAGACATAGTTTCTTAGCTGTGATTTGGCAGGTGGACACAGACTTGCAGAGGTAAGGCTGAAAAGAATGAGGATTCATGTGCTGTGCTGCTCTGTGGGAGTCCAGTATATGATTCCTATCCCCACACTCCTGCACACTGGAGCTGGCAAGGACCAAGAGTGCTGCAGGGGATCATCCCAGTAAACTAAGAGACTCATGTTTCAGACTCTCGTGTTGGAACCCCTGTCCTGGTTTTCGTTTCCATGGGCCCAATCTGGGGATGACGTGGAGGCTGAGTGTCATAATAGTGCTCTGGACCATCACTTGGGAGTCCAGGCTGTGATGCCCAGTCCTGGTCTCTATATCCATGGGCTGCAAGGATTGAAGAGGATACCCCCTTTGGAATGCTTCTCAGATTAAGGGGTCATACCTTCTTTCTTCACGGAGTCATCATAAGCCATGGTGGTCCTGCAAGGCCTTTGAGAATGTGTCACTGTGTCCAGGCTCCTTCCCGTCTACAGGACCAGGTCTGAGAAACAAAGAAGGAAAACCCTCCTGTAATGCGAAATCACTGTGGAGAAGCAACCTTCCAGATGAAAATGCGTAGTGATCCAAGGGCCGACTGGAAAGGCAGCAAGAAATAGAGGAGTATCTTGTCACCTCCTCATTCTGTTTGTAAATATATTGGGGTTGAAACTGCAGGAAGTATGCTAGGCTTAATTAGATTTCAGTCATGAATTAAGGTTGTCATTTGGGGAAGTATATAAAATACCTCCTATATAAAAAATATTTTCAAAATTAATGAGAATTTCTGAAATGCCAACAGGACTAGGTAAAAACTGACATTAAGTCAGAGGGATAGGTTCATTCAACCACGGTTACAAAATGCAAAGGTAAAGCAAGATGTAGAGGAAGACAGATTACACCAAACACTTGAAGACCACAAAATCCTACCAATTTGACTGGTGAAATGATAAAATCTATTACATTGCAGTTTAAACAAAAATGTTGATAACAGCAAACGGATATTAAGACTTTACAGCATAATTTCTTTTGTATGTATTTTGTTTGGCTATAAGAACTTACTTAAATTTATAGAATTATAAAAATAGATACACTGCTTACATTAGTTTGTAAGTTAGTACTCTGCTTTCACCACTAACAAGCCTTTCTTAAAGGCCAGGTAAAAACAGAGAAAATTATCATTTTTCATTGGTTATGAAATTTTTATGATTATTAAGCTCTTTGAAAATAAGAAGTATTATAATTTAAATATCCTAAATAATGTATTAAAATTAGAAAAATTATTTGGCATTCAAGTTTACATGTCTTTTGTAAACTTTGACTTTGAAGATGACAATGCTATAGGAAACTGCACTGTAAAGTTCTTCAAATACTTTATGGACAAGCAATGTCACAAGTTCTGCAGGAACTTTAAAAATTACATATTAAATATTTTGGAAATGTTCTCATCCAGTTAGTTATATGCTTAAAAGATAATCTGATTGGTCACTTAGTTTTATTTTACCGTCATTATTATAATGGGATTTAGAAATACTGAAGGACACTGTAATTATACATTACTAATCCCTTCAGGTATGTGTGGACAGTACTGAAGTATGAAACTTTTGTGAAAGAAAACATGAATTTGATTAACAAGGGAAACTTTCATAATAACAGTTACATTTAAAAAAACAAAAAGCAAAGACTTATTCGCACGAATCAGATAAAATGCAATGCACAGGTAGGTCTGAGTTGAAAAAAGAAAAAGTAGTATCACCGAGAATAATTTACAAGTAAGAATTAAGAAAAGAAACATTAAAAAAGCATTTCTCCAGGTTCCTGAGAAGTGAAATGAAGAATGGCCTTGGTCAAGGTAAGAGAAGCTAGAATAAAGTAAAGAAACTACATTAACTGGATTATTTTAAAGGTAAATGGAGAAGTGCCTGCTCAAGGGCTTTTTCATAGGACACAACGGGGATATAAAGTCAGGCCCCAGGTAAAAACACGAGGAGGCAAGATACATAATGTAGCCAGTTTTCAAGTCCCAGCATTTAACTGTCTTAAATGGAAACTGCTGTTCTCCCCTTTCCACTCAAGTGGTGCTAACTCTAAAAGGGGTGCAGGCAGGGGAAGGGGACTGTCATATAGGGAATTATATTCATTCATTTGAAAACAGTTTTATCTTTTCACTGGTACTAAAATATTGAGTTAATAAGAAAAACATACAGATTATGTTGGTTTTCATAGATTGATAATGCCAAGAACTACCACAACTAGAGACCTCAAGTCAAATGCTTTTCGTGCCAAATGAATTTTGGCAAAGAATGTTTGAGAAATAATGGCAAAAATCTTAAAAATTCAGTGTCATAAATATAGCCATTGATCTGTTGACAACAACAAAATGCACTTTTAAATGTAAGCAAAGACAGGTCCTGAGACTTATAAGCAGGGCTTCCCTGTGGTAACATCAAAACCAACATAAAACAGAGCTAAGCAATTTAACAGAATAGAAATAAGTCCCTCTGAACACAGTATAAGAAAGAAAATGACTGTGACTTACTATATTATGGAAAAGCACTCATGGTCTCATAACTGACTGCTTTAAAAAACAAATAGTGGATTTAAAAAGTTGTGAGAGAGAATAGAAAATTATGAACTGCTCCTCAGAAGCACAAGCCAACACAGAAAATGTGCTGGTGTTAGCATTATGTATTAGAGTTAGGCTCACTACTGTTCCAATTTTCTTAAAAACACTGAAGAGCAGTCTATAAATTACAGGATTAAACAACCTGAAGAAAAAAAACGAATGAGGCTTCAAGATTAGTCCAATTCACTAAAGAACTGGGGCAGCCGAGAGCTTGAAAAACTAAAATTAAACACAATGGACTATATCATAGCTTGGGCAAACTGACGGGCTCCGAATTTCTAGGTTCTTTAAAATCAGGGTATTATTGCAGTTCAGGGGTTAGTTTTAGTTGCTGACTCATAGAACAAAGATGATACCAGGTAAAGAAGTCTCAAGCAACAGTGTGAAAGAAAGGCAGAATTTAGGCAACATTTATAAAAGATCAGATGAACTCCTGATATTCCTTCTAGGTCTTGAATATTATCCACGATAAATTCAGAATTCAGGGGTAGGAAGCAGATTATGAGGATTAATGAAAATGAAAAATATCAGGTTTGATTTTCATGTTAAAAAACAGAGGTCATAATGACATCAAATGTTGGCAAATGTAAAACAGGTGTTAAACCCATTCTGAATTCCATAATTTTGGAGTTGATAAAATTCAATGTTGTCAATTTCAAGAGGCAGGGATAATTTTGTCTGTCTCAATGTGCTAAGATATGACAACATTATTAAAAGTTCATTATTTAATATTGTTCGTGGAAGAAATATGCATCATAAAAATGTATACCTATCAAATGTGCAAACTGTTAACTGGTTCTTCTGGGATTTTTCTTCAGGATACGAAAAAGGGGAGGCAGAGTTCCTTTTGCACTTGTAGATAAATATACAAGTTATGTTAAGGCATAGGCCTTCAGGGTGATCAAAGCAATTAGGGATCTGATGATCTAAAATTATCAAATAGAGTACTTTGAACTCTATACTGAAAAAAGTTTCAGAAGGTGGTTTTTTGAGGTAATCTGAGCTGTAGCAATCATTAACAATCTTCTTCATCCAATAATGTAAATAAGTATTGAAAAAAAGGAAACAAACTAAGTCTCATAAAGTGGGCAACAAGAGAAACCCTGAAATCCAAGTCTAGTCCAGGATGACAGCTTTGCCCAAGATTCCAAGTTCTCTTCTTCCTGCATGCCTTTCAAGAACTCAAACTGCCCGTCAGTGCAGGTAAAGGAAGACGCACATCCAGCTGTTGCCAGTTTCTGAAATTTTGTTGTTATTGTTACTTCTAGTATTTGAGCAGGTGATGCGATGTCTTCTCAATTTTCTTGAGGTTTCCTCCAATCTCTGAACACAGCGACTCCGAATTCTCTTGCCACTCCCTTCTCCAGGGACCTACCTATGTGCAGCACTCACAGCCCCTGCCAGCTCTGGAAGCTGCAGGGATCCCGACAGCCTGGGATGGGGATTGAATCCTCTCATTGCAGTGCAATTAAGCGGAACCACGACCACCGCACAGATCGGCTGACAACACACATTTCCATAGACCAGCAACAGAAATCTTGACAAGCCTTGTCCAATCAACAGGCTTTATTTGGGATAAAGTTTTTTTTATTTATTCTGCTATGAGGGAATATAATCAGCCACCAGTTTAGCCATCAGAAAGAAGGGAGGGAAATTTTCTCCTTTTTCGCACGATATAAAGTGAATCTACAAGTAGTAGTTGTGGAAAGAAGATGGGCCTGTATGGAAACGAATCCCACTACGAAGGTACGTTCAAACTGGACCGCACGCAAAGAATACACACAATACCAGGTTATTTACACAAACAGTCCCCAGGACCACCATTTTTATGGCCCCCACGGCAAACCAATGGGATTCTCCCGGCAGTTTTGCAGCAACAGCTAGTTCGACAAAGCTCTGTGAAGAGGAAAAAAAGAAAGCTCCCCGTATCCTCTCCTGCCAGCCGAGGCCCCAGCCCTCCCGTCGGCGCGGCCGCGGAGCCCTGTCCCCCTGACAGCCCCAGGGACCCCCGCATCCCGCGTCCGAAGCTGCAACTCTGCCCAGACGCGGCTTCCCGCGTCCCCGGCGGCCGCACGGCGCCCCCGAGGGCGGAGACGGTCCGGGCAGGGGGAGGGGCGGCCCCGGCCCGCAGGCCCCCGGGGCGGCCGCACGCCCCCTCCCGGCCCCGCAGCTTTCCCGCCTTCCCCATTTGAACAGCTCCCGCCCGCCTTCCTTCTTCGGCCCGCTCCAGCCCCTTCCCGGGGGCGGCTGCGGCCGCTACTCCAGTCCCCGGCTCGGCCGCTGGGCTAGGCCGCGACGGGCCTGGGGCGTCCCCGAGGAGGTGTCGCGGGCCCAGGGCGGCGGGTGGCAGCAGGGCGGGGCTGCCGCCGCCTCTGGGTGGGGGCCCAGCCCGGCCTCGTGGGGGCTCCGCTCACCGCTACCTTCACTCGGCTCGGCCGGATCCCGCCTCAGCGCCGCCGACGGCCGCCATCTTGGAGAAGGAGAGAAAAGCGCGAGCCGCCAGGGAGCCTCAGTCGAGCGCAGAGCGCAGACTCCAGCTCAGGAGGGGGAATCCCGTTCGAGAAAGAGCGCCGAACGCATCGAATGAAACTCAGCTTGCTTAGAACCAGAGCTAGTATTTAGTGAGAATTTGTTATGTGCCAGGCTTGGACTAGAAGCTTTGCGAATATTATATCATTTAATCCTCTCAGCATCTCTGTGAGGTCGGTTTTGTCACAATTTGCAGAAGAGAAACAGGCTCACAGAGGTTAAGTGACTTGGCCGACGTTGCGAGCCAGGGTGCTACTCCAAATCTTCTAATTCCCGATGCAGTGCTTTTCCCCAAAGACTGTGCTGTTTCCTTCAACATATTTTTATGCAGTAATTCCCCTCTTTGCAAAACCTAGATCCATCCAGATTAATTAATAGCGGTGGTGATTATTTGGAATTTAGCACCTGCATTTGAATGTTTGGCATATCTGGGGTAAGGTGGGAGACTTTATCTTTGTAACAATGCACTGTGAAATAATTTGGTGAATCTTCTACATTCCTCTCCCATAAATTTTTTTCATTTAAAATTTAGAAACAGTCTTTGGAGAGTTGAAGAGATGTCATAAACAGGAGAGAACCCTATCTTTCTGACTTGTGGATTTTGCTGATTTTTTGTAGAGAACCTGGACCAATGGGTAGAAATTACAATGTGCAGAATTTGGTTAAATATGAAGAACTTTTTTTTCTAGCACAGTTTAATAGTATAATGGGCTGCCTTATGGTTAGTGAGCTTCCTGTGACTGGAGTAGTCCAAGTAGAAACTGGTGTCTTAGTTACTGTAAAGTAGAGAGGTTAGAGATGGGGATTGGCTTCTAGAGTTATGAGCCTCATGAAACTCTATGCAAAATCATGTGCTTGTGCACATGTGCGTTTTTCTGGGGCTCAGGCCCCATCAAAGATTAAGAACCCCTGTCCTAGTGGGCTTTCCATTGCAGAATTAGATTCGTGCTTGAAGATGATGTAGTCCTGAGACCAAGAGAAGCAAGGTGATTTGTCTCAGATCACATTGCTGATTGGTGATCAGATAAGGATTAGAAGCCAGATTGTTGGACTCTTGGTTCTGTGCTCTTTTTGCCATGCCATGGTCTCTCCCCCTCTGCAATTTGCTTGGATTCTGTTTAATAGCTGGTGAGATGCTGAGATGTTAAAACACCCGAGGCAATGTTGCTGAATTTATTCCCAAAATGTAACTGCTGTGAATTAAAATAAAATCTTAAGGCTCCCCCCCACCAGCTGACTGAATGGACACCCTCTAACCTAAGGGAAAATCTTAAAACTAAATTTCCTGCCTCGAGGAGGGAGGTCAGTCGTGCCTCTTCATGCCTCCTTCCCTTCTTGGAGACCATCCTTTGTAACCCTTTAACAGGCCTGATGGGTATGCAAGACAAACCTGCAGGCCCTCAATTTACACAACAGAGCTCCCTATCATAACACATTCCAAGTCTTTATACAAAGCTTCCTGACCAATTACAAGTCAAAGAATCTTTAAACCTACCTATAACCTGTAAGCTGCCCCCCTCCCATGGCCCACCTTTTCACGCCAAACCAATGTATACCTTCCACGCATTGATTTATGACTTTACCTGTAACCTCTGTCTGCCTGAACTGTATAAAACCAAACTGTAACCCAACCACAGCGAGTCCACTTGCTCAAAGCTTCTTGGGCTTGGCTCAGGTCATGGTCCTCAAATTTGGCTCAGAATGAATCTCTTTAAAATTATTTTACAGGCCGGGCGCGGTGGCTCACGCCTGTAATCCTAGCTCTCTGGGAGGCCGAGGCGGGCGGATTGCTCAAGGTCAGGAGTTCGAAACCAGCCTGAGCAAGAGCGAGACCCCGTCTCTACTATAAATAGAAAGAAATTAATTGGCCAACTAATATATACAAAAAATTAGCCGGGCATGGTGGCGAATGCCTGTAGTCCCAGCTACTTGGGAGGCTGAGGCAGGAGGATTGCTTGAGCCCAGGAGTTTGAGGTTGCTGTGAGCTAGGCTGACGCCAGGGCACTCACTCTAGCCTGGGCAACAAAGCTAGACTCTGTCTCAAAAAAAAAAAAAAATTATTTTACAGACTTTGACTTCTTTTCCAGTGACACTGCAAATAATAAATAAAACTAGCACCCCAGCTACCTTCTCATTAGCCCCCCATCCTGCTCACCAAAAAAATAGGCAATGAGTTTCTCCAAAAGATGTTATAATAGATTGCGTTTCTGGGACACCTTGGCTGATGGCTGGCTTCCTTTCTAGGTATTTAAGAGCCTTAAGAATGTATTTTCTTTTTGTTCTTCAGTACCCAGGATGTATTGGTCAGGATGTTTTTAGTTGTAAGTGACACAAACCCAATTTAACATAGTTTACCAGAAAAGGGGAATTTATTGGCTCACATGATTGAAATTTCTAGTACCTTCCAGCATGGCTGGATTGAGGGAGGGAGTCAAGCTGGTCCTTTGACATCTCTCTGTGGTACTTTCCGCTGAGTTGGTTTTATTCTCACATGCAGGTGGTGACTCCAACAGCTCCTACTTCATCTTCTTTACTGCTAGTAGTGTTCCTGGGGAAGAAGTTTCTTTTTCCCATTTGCTTTGGCAAAAGTCTTTTGACTTTTGGGGGATTGATTTTTATTGCCTGAATTGGATTGTGTGTCCAAACAGAAAGCAGTCACTATGAGCAAAGGTGTAGGGTATGCTGATTGGCTAAATTGTCACATGCTCACCTCCAAAAGTAGGGTAGGGGTAGATACAAGGAAAATCAGGGGTTATTGTCAGAAATGTGAATGGATGCTAGGTAGGCAAGAACAGTAGCTGTCCATCTGGTGTGCCATGAGCTTGGACCTGAGTGTCCTTTGAGTCCCATTTGTCCAATTTCCTTTTCATCCCACCTGAGGATGAGGCATATCAAGTCCTTTTTCATCTTAAACTCCCGTATACCTGAAGTCAGATCGCTCCCCAGCCTACTCTCTCAGTCACAAAATGCCATTAACTTGCACCCAGTCTTGGACCACTGCTCATGCATTTGTTCATTTAACAAATATTTATTGAAAACACAGCACGTACCAGGCACTGCCGTAGATGTTGAGAATAGAACAGTGAACAAAATCAAGAGTCCTTGATCCTGTGGAGCTTACATTCTAGTTGGGTTGGGGGCAAAGCAATTAAAACATAGATACTACATTAGTTGATGGTCATAGGTGGAGAAAGATGATGCTGGGTAGGATAAAAGAGTACCAGGAGGGGATGGGGATAGGAATGGACTGTTGTTTAAAATAGTGGTTGGGTAGGCTAGCTCAGCCAGAGGTGGGCTGGTGGTGGGGACCAGGAGGTCATAGCTCCTTGAATGGATTCAAGTCCTTCCTCTGGACTTAGATGGGAAAGTATTCTCTGTTGAATATCTTATCATAGTTCTTTTGTATTTTTGAAACTTGGAAAGAGACAAAGGAAGACCCCCCTGGGTAGCCTGAGATGGAGAGGAGCCTGGTTGTGGTGTACTTTGTGAATAAGAATGCCTTGTCCCACGCTGAGTGGAGGATGGCATCTGCAATATGTGAAGACTGGCACTCCCTAAGGGTGAGGCTGTCTCTGGTCCACCTGGCCCAAGTAAAACTGCCCAGTGCATGGCAGCAGTGGGGGGGGGGACTAAGTAGTGCTTGGTTTGGGCATCCCCTTCAGACCATTTTTCTTTGCTCTGCATTTCTTTTTAAAGACAGAGTCTCATTCTGTTGCCTGGGCTAGAGTGCCTTGGCATCAGCCTAGCTCACAGCAACCTCAAAATCCTGGGCTCAAGCGAGCCTCCTGCTTCAGCCTCCTGAGTAGCTGGGACTATAGGCTCATGCCACCACACCCAGCTAATTTTTCTATTTTTAGTAGAGATGCGGTCTCACTCTTGCTCAGGCTGGTCTTGAACTCCTGACCCCAAGTGATCCTCGGCCTCCCAGGGTGGTCAGGATTATAGGCATGAGCCACCATGCCTGGCCTGCTCTGTCCTTTCTAGCTTTGTGTTTTCAACAGCTTCTTTGTGTTAGGTCTGATAAGAGGTTGCAGTCATGGACACATACATTAGGCAGAGTTTTTTGGCTAGAAGTGATGGGACCTAATTAAAACTACCTTAAGAGACAAGCAGAAATGTATAGCTCATGTAATAACAAGAAACACACTCAGGCTGGGTGTGGTGGCTCACACCTGTAATCCTAGCTCTCTGGGAGGCCGAGGTGGGCGGATTGCTCGAGGTCAGGAGTTAGAAACCAGCCTGAGCAAGAGCGAGACCCTGTCTCTACTAAAAATAGAAAGAAATTAATTGGCCAACTAATATATATAGAAAAAATTAGCCGGGAACTACAGGCACATGCCTGTAGTCCCAGCTACTTGGGAGGCTGAAGCAGGAGAATCGCTTGAGCCCAGGAGTTGAGGTTGCTGTGAGCTAAGCTGACGCCCCAGCACTCTAGTCCAGGCAACAAAGTGAGACTCTGTGTCAAAAAAAAAAAAAAAGAAAAAAAGAAAAGAAAAAGAAAAAAAAGAAACACACTCAGAGCTAGAGAGCAGCTGGCCCTCTGTACAACTGGGTCCAGGAATTCAAATCCCTCCTTCTTAGCTCTGTTCTCTCAGGCTGGCAGTCCCTAGAATTACAGCCACAGGTAGCCCAGGCTTATATCCTTACAGTCTCTTGACCAGAGAGGAAAGAGTACTTTCCCACACCAGCACCATGGAAAAAAAAATCCTAGGGAAGAACTCTAATAGGCTGACATGGGGTCATGTGATCATTTAGTATGGTGATGAATAGTTCCTGGCAGAACTGCAAAGCTGCAGTAGG